CTATTTAAGAAGGAACACCGCTTGCAGCAAGCTGTAGGGAACAACTTTAGTTCACTTTCCTTCGCATCTGGATTCTCTGCAAAATTGCTTCTGGGCTTTCTGCCAACTCTAGTAAGACTAGATTACCTATCTTAGAATTCTGGTAGGCTGTTAAGACAGTTTATTAACAGCCTTTGGTTGATGAAGACTAAGTTATTTGAGTAAAATAAGCTTTGTGTAGAGTGTGTGTGTGCTGCGTTCTTTGGGGTCCGTAGCTGGGGCAGAGCAGTGCCTGACCATGGGAGTGTTCCCAAGGCTGTTTGCTCTATGCTGAAGTTCTTTGTGGACTCAGGTATTCATACCCTTGTGGGTTTCAAATGTTTTTTACTAGCGCTTCTGTGGGCGTGGCGTGGGGATCTCGTTGATTGAATGAAGGCTTCTGGAGAAGAAGTGACAAAACAGAAGCCTGGAGGGTGGGTGGAGAAAGACTGGGAGGACAGCATATCACCAAGGATGGAATGAGCTCACCTTCCATCCAACACTCTGCCAATAAGAATGATGAAATCTGCTCGGTTCTCCACCCTTGTTGTTGTGTCAGCGTGTTGCCGTCTGGCAACTTCGTTTAAGGCTCATCTGGAAAGCAAAACAAAAAAAGGACAAATCGAAAACCACTTCCGTCCCGTTGTTAAAAAAAAAATCCGATACATACATAAGATGTAGCCTCCGGTAGAGTCATTAATCTCAAGGACATTTCCCCCTTTTGCAGAATGCTGTAGAGCAACCTACGTCTGCTTCGGCAAAAACTGGCACAATTTTTGTCACCTTTTGAAAAATTGGGTTATATTAATGCCAATCTGAGTTACCGTTGACAGGGTAAGATTCACAGAGTGAACCTTTTTTTGGCTAGCGTCCAGGGGTGAAATGCTCCCGGTTCGGACCGGATCGCCGGATCCGGTAGCGATGGCAGCGGGTGGTTTGGAGAACTGGTAGCAAAAATTTCTACAACCCCCCCCCCCCGGCCGCCCATGTCCAGCTAAGCAGCACAAACGTCAGAGGCGCTGCTTAGCTGGGAAAAGACTGGGGGAAAAAAAGATTGCGCGCCACAGCTGATCACGCCCCCTCGCGCGCTGTTCTACTTGCCGCATGCCTCCTTTTGGCGTGCACTGCGTGCGTGCACCTCGCATTCGGTGCGTGATGTGCACTGCGTGTGCACAGCCAGCGAACCGGTACTAAACCCCGGTTCAGATTTCACCACTGCTAGCGCCCCATCTCAAGTCCCGTCAACCCAGGTTCTCTTGGTGCTATCGTATTCTGAACAGGGGTGAAATGTCAAATTTGTTACTACCGGTTCTGTGGGCGTGGCTTGGTGGGGGGGGGTTAATGTGACTGGGTGGGCGTGGCAACTTTTTTTTTTTTTAACTTTTCAGAGCATTTTTTCTAATGCTTTAAAAAGCCTCTCTGGCGATCAGGCAACTCAGCTGGGATCGTCAGAGACTTTTCAAAGCATTTTTTTAACCACCTCTTCGGCCAAGAGGTTGCAGAAAAAAATGCTTTGAAAAGCCTCTGACGATCCCAGCTCAGCCACGCGATCATCAGAAGCTTTTTTTTTTACTTTTAAAAGCATTTTTTCGTCGGAAGAGGTTGTAGAAAAAATGCTTTTAAAAGTTAAAAAAAAAAAGCCTCTGATGATCGTGCAGCTCAGCTGGGCATGGTGAGGGGAGGCGCAGGGATTTTTGCTACCGGTTCTCCGAACCACCCACCGCCATCGCTACCGGATCGGGTGATCCGGTCTGAACCGGGAGCATTTCACCCCTGATTCTGAATTTTTTCTAACTTCTGGAGGGTTGTTGTTTTGATCTGCTTTGCCAACACAAATTGCTACACTCTTTAAGTTGAGCAAGAGTGAAACGATCAGCTTTTGTCCTGGGCTTTCCAATGTCTTAATTGAGACAGCCTAATGTACAAATGGCTTGTTCCTTCGTTTCTTCACAATACCGATACGGAGAGAAGTATCTCAGATACTTCCTAGCATTCATAGGAACTGGGGATTGGAATGCTTTTACAGATTGGTTGGGTAGTCCCTGACTCCTAGCATTGTACGTTGAGCTCCCTGATTCTTCCAGATGTTTCACCACTGTATTAAAAAAAAGCTTTGTGTGACTTGCAACCATTTCTCTTCACGCTACAACAGTTTCTGAAGCGTTCTTTGTCTTGATAAATCTGACCATACAGTATTTTACAATGAAAGCTTTGAGCAGCTGAATCAGAAAATTTAACAGAATAACCGGCTTGGAAGGGACCTTGAAGGGACCTTCTAGTCCAACCCCCCCGGTCGAGCAGGAGACCCAGTGATGGCTAACATTTTTGCGTCGCGTGCCAAAAGTGGGGGAAGCATGGAGGGGTGTCATGTGCGCACGTGCCCACACCCATAATTCCATGCCCCCCGTGCATGCACACACAACCCCTGCGCGCTCCCCATGCATGCAAGCATGACCCACCCCCACCGTGCCCCGTTTTGGGCCTAGCAGGCCTCCCTGAAGTCTCCGGAGGCTGGAAACGGCCCGTTTCCAGACTTCCAGTACGCCCGTTTTTCACCCTCCCCAAGCTCCAGAGGCTTTCTTGGAGCCTGGGGAGTGCAAAAACGGCCTCCCCCTCCCTGGAGGCCCTCTGGAGGCCAGAAATGGCCCATTTCCCAACTTCTGGTGGGCCCGGAAGGCCTGTTTTTCGCACCCTCCCCAGGCTCCAAAAGCTTTCTTGGACCCTGGGGAAGGCAAAAACGGCCTCTCCCCCCACCCGGAGGCCCTCCGGAGGCCAAAAACTCCCTCCCAGATCCTCCGCTTAAGCCCTGTACTTACCTGGCATCCAAAACGGGCCACGTGGAGACTCCTGGGAGGGGAGGAGCAGCGTGAGCGGGGCCAGCCGAAAATCAGCTGGCCGGCGTAGCACATGCGCTGTGGAGCTGAGCTAGGGCAATGGCTCGCGTGCCGGCAGATATGGCTCCACATGCCACCCGTGGCACGCGTGCCATAGGGTCGCCATTACGGCCCTATACCATTGCAGTCAAATGGTGGTCCAATCTCTTCTTAAAAGCCTCCAGTGATGGAGCAGCCACAACTTCTGAAGGCAAGCCCTTCCCTTAGTTAATTGGTCTCATTTTTAGGAAATCTTCTTCATTCTAGATTGGATAACCCCTTGATTAGTTTTCATCCACTGAAGTGAACAAGTATCGAGGCTAAAATTTATAGTTGGGTATACGTTTTTCATTTTTCATCCAGATTCATTCTCTGGCTTATGGGCTCCTGTAGAACACCGATAAAAAAATAGGCAAAATGAAGAAATAACCGTCTTTTTATTCCCCCAAAGCCCACGCATTTGAGGAATTGTCAACCTTGTAGGTTCAGTTCAATGCGATTACTCACTACTCCGTTTATAGATCGATCCACTGAAAATTAATTGGACGAACAGCTCAAACTCTTAAGGAAACGCTACAGTTGAGCTCTGGATGGGTTGAATTTGACGTAAAACAGTTCAGCGTTTAAAAGGCCTTGGTGAGAAAAGCATAAATTTTGCGTTTAGTCCATGAATGCTTAACTGTTGTAATCTTTTGAACTTTGCTCCATTGTTCGTCATCCATTCAAGGACCAATTCCCGGCAGATGTTTTTTTTTTTTTACATATCCCAGAATAATGTGCAGCTTTAGATCCGGCCATGAATGGCGTGAATGAGTTTTTAATGTTTTTAATGTTTTTAATTTTTAAATATTTTTTATAATGATTTTTTAAAATGTATTGTGAGCCGCCCTGAGTCTTCGGAGAGGGGCAGCATATAAATTGAATGAATTAAATTAAATTAAATTAAATTAAATTAAATAATTAAATTAAATTAAATTAAATTATTAAATAAATTAAATTAAATTAAATTATTAAATTAAATTATTAAATTAAATTAAAGTGGGAAACATTTGCATATTCAAAACTAGCATAATTTGGATATCGGGTTCTTGAAGCCGGACTTTCTTCCAGCTCTGAGTTTGGAAATTTTGTTTTTAAATATATATATTGCGACGCCTTAAAACCTGGGACTGGTGAAAAAGTCTGCTTAAATAGAAATGAAAGCATCCAATAAAATACAGATGGTTAATTGGTTCAGGGAGGCGAGATGAATAACAAAAACTCTGAGTACCAAACAATTTCCCCCCCCCCTAAGAAATAAGGTAGTGAGTCACAAGGCAGCTGACACCCGACAAATTGTAGCTTGTGCATCAAGTACCAAACAAACAACGAGTACCAGGACAAATATTTTCCCGTCAAAATGTGTTGAGTAACAAATTCGATGAGTTTCAAAACAGTTGAGTACCAAGGTGCCACTGTAATTGGTATGCGTAAAGCAGCGGTGAAATGTAAAATTTGTTACTACCGGTTCTGTGGGCGTGGCTTGGTAGGGGGTTATGTGACTGGGTGGGCGTGGCCAACTTTTTTTTTTTTTAACTTTTAAAAGCATTTTTTCTACTACCTCTTCAGCCGAGGAAGTTGTAAAAAAATGCCTTTTGAGGCTCTGGCAATCAGGCAACTTAGCTGGGATCGTCAGAGGCTTTTAAAAGCATTTTTTTTCTGCAAACTCTTCGGCCGAAGAGTTATAGAAAAAATGCTCTTAAAAGCCTCTGAAGATCCCAGCTAAGCCACGCGATCATCAGAGGCTTTTTTTTTATTTTTAAAAGCATTTTTTCAGCCGAAGAGGTTGTAGAAACTGCCTACTATTTTCATCCAAGCTGAATGAATGAGTTTTCTATTTTTTTTTTTCTTTCTTTCTTGAGCAACTTTCTTTCTAGTTCCGCCTATATATTTTCAGCCATACGTTCCTCTTTTTTTTTTTTTTTGTAATGATTGCAACTACAGCCAGGGACTGTTTGACAGTTCTAACAGGAAAAGCATTTTTTAAAAAAAACCCACACACAATTTTTAAAGCCAACGATCTTGTTTATAGCCGAGTAGGTTAAAACTTCCTTCCTGGTTACCCGAAGACTTCCGTTGCCTCGACTGATGAAAGAAAGCCAGAAAAACAGAACATCTCACCCCGAAGAAGCCACTTTCCGTGGTTGTGAGTTGTTGCCATTTTAAAATAAAGCAGGATTCAAAACTATACAAATGAGGTTTCGGCAGAAATTCAGTTCCTGTTTCCCAGCCAGGTAAAATCTCTCATTAAAATAGTTCCATCGTTTGCTTTCGTTGGATCGTGGGGAAAATTAACCGTTCTACTCAGTCGTTGCTGGCATCCTGAAATTGTTCATCTTGAAACTTTCAGGAGATAAAATATGGGGGAAGAATTTGTTAGGGAAAAAAAAGCATCAAAAGTTTTGTTGGGAAAAATAAGCAGCCTAGTCCTTATTCATTAAGGAGGAAGGGATCAAAATGGCTTGTAACCTTCATTTTATCTACGTATGGTGGGAAAAATGGAAATTATAAGACAATTTTTAAACACTTCTCATTGGTCAGGGGTGATCTAAAATGTATGTTCTTTGAAACACATTAGAAGTTCTCTGCATATGAGCTGCTGGCGTGCACAGGTGGATGAGTTTTGATTTAATCTAGGAAGACAGCTGTTAATTATTTTCATTATATAAAAATACTCTTGTTATTCCCATGCAGTTTTTTCCCCCCAGATAATTTTTCTCCTCTCTTTGCAAACTGGCAGAGATGCTGGCTTTGAAATTTTGTTCAAAAAACTAAAATAAAAGACATAACGTTTAGAGAGCAAGCGGTGTGTTAAACATTCATTCTTTAAATACCAATGCTTTAAAACGCTTCAGATTTTAAACAGAAACAGTGTCTGTTTAGTATTTGGAAATGGATGAGGAGGATGACAAAATATTACATCATCATCATCATAAAATATTAAAAACAGCCTGTCTTTCTGGATTAGCACGAATCTCTTGAGTTGAACCCAGATTTAAGGGCATACAGTTGGAATCTGTAAAATAGAAATCTAAAAATTCTTTCTTTTCTATAACCTTCATCTAGTTCCCCAAAATGCTACAGAGAAAAATGTGGAATTAAAAAAAAGATAATAGAGAAATAACATTCATAGAGCAAACGCCATGTTAAACCCAAATCGTTTTTAAAGTGCTTCAGATTTTAAACATACCTCCACAAAACAGCATCTACTTAAATATTTGGAAACGATTGTTGATGATGATGATGATGAATGATGATTATATAATAGGTTAAACATGGCTTCGTCCTTTCTATGAGTTTAATCCAGATTTAAGTGCATGCAGTTGGGTTTAGTAAAACAGATTTTTTTTAAAAGGCGTTCTTTTTCATTTCCCAAAACGCTGCAGAGAAAAATGTAGAATTTTCTCATGAATTGCTTAGACTGTGTTACAAACATAAAATTGAGGGAAGCATATTGTTGTGTGCAAAGGAAGTCCAATTGTAAGCCGTCTAGAGTCACCTCTAGCCAAGACGGGCACCACATAAGTTTAATAAGCAAATAAATAAGTAAATAAATATAAAATATAAATATAAAAGAGCCTTGGTAGTACAGTGGTCTAAGGCACCCTGTTATTAAGCTGGTTATTAAGACCAGCTGCCTGCAATTACTGCAGGTTCAAATCTCGCCAAGGCTCAAGGTTGACTCAGCCTTCCATCCTTTCTAAGGTAGGTCAATTGAGGACCCAGTTGTGGGGGCAATAAGCTGACTTTGTATAAAATATACAAAAGGATGAAGGCTATTGCTTAGCACATTGTAAGCCGCCCTGAGTCTTCGGAGAAGGGCGGCATATAAATCAAATTTAAAAAAAAAATTACTCTGTCAATGCAAAAGTCTGAAAATTAGAATAGAAGAAGCAACATTCTCTGGGCGGATTGATGGGAATGAGGTCAGATTTCAGGCTTTGTGGGGGGAAATACTTGTACTGCCACGGGAGAGGCAGCTGGGCAGAGGCTCAGAATGTTGGTGACCGCGGCATTCTAAGCCCTCCCTTTCCAGGTCACATGACCCAGAGCGGAACATTTTTTCCACTCTCCTATACAGACAACATCTGGGCATATAGTAGAGCATTGGTGTCAAACTGGATTTCATTGAGGGCCCCATAAGGGTTGTGTTTGACCTTGGGGGTGGGGGGTTGGGGGGGCATGGCCAGGGTAGGCGTGGCCAGCTCGATGTCACTCATGTCGGAGACGCCTGTGGTGGCCCGAGCCTTTGCCAGCAAAAATGGGCTCACAAGCTTCATTTTTGGCTGTGATGGCCTCCTGCAACCCAGAGTGGCAGGCCAGTGCGTGCACGCGCAGATCAACTCACATGATTGCCAGGCTGGCGCATGCAGATATACATACGTGTGCAGCTCAAAGTGGGGCAAGTCGAGCTGCGTGCACATATACATGCGCAATGGCCCACTGCTCACGTGAGTTCAGCTGTGCATGTGCACATGCATGTTGAACCGCCACTCACGTGGTCCGGATCCCCTCTCCACCCCCCCAAGGTTGGGGAACACAGCGCTAGAATATAAAATGAGAGCAAATCCCACTCCTTACTAGCACTGATGATGTTACCTAGTTTGGTAATGAAATGTCTGCAACAAAACAACCAAACTGTAGAGAATACCAGCAGCCACAGATCAACGTACCTCTGTTCGTATTTTAGCCATTGCCTTTTGGGGGCAGTTAACATTATTTACAGAAGCTATGCTTAATACAGAATGTACCATATTTTTCGGATTATAAGACACACTTCCCCCCCCCTAAAAGAGGCTGAAAATTTGGGTGCATCTTATACTCCAAATGTAACCCCGCCCACCCGCCGGCCCCCACCCTTCAGCCTCCTCGCGTCCTCTTCCTGGCTGCTGAGATTGCCATTGACAATAGCTTGTGTTTTTGGGCTCCATGCGTCACGTTTTCAGCCTCCAAACACTCCGTTTAGAGCCCCTCAAGGCTGTAGGGATCACCAAAGCACATTGCTGCCAATCGCTGCCTGAAAACACGATGCGTTCGGAGGCTGAAAACGAGACGCGCGGTGCCCAAAATGGCTACCCGGAACAGCTGCTTTCTTCTCTTACCCCTTCCGCGCTTTGCCTGCTTTAGTCACTGGCGCTCCCTCCGATGATCAGCTGTGCTTTTGAAGCTGTTTTTCAGCCCCAACGCGGTGCTTGCGAGCAAAGTGATCTTCCGCGCTTCGCCTACTTTTCTCAGTGCTGCTCCCTCCGACAATCAGCTGTGTTTTAGAAGCTGTTTTTTTAGCCCCAACAAGGGCATGCTCAAAACCAGCGAACTAATGTGCTGAAGCTGACCAGGCTAGCCAGATGAATACCTGGTAGGCAGAATTTTTTCCCCCTATTTTTCTCCCCAAAAAGTAAGGTGTGTTTTATACTCCGGTGCGTCTTATACTCCGAAAAATACGGTATTTGGACTGCTCTTTGCTTAGAGCTTGCTATTATCTTTATTTATTTATTTAAATTATCATCAATGGAAGGAAAGCAAAAGGATTCAAAAAGGGCTTCCCTTCTGTTTGATTAGCTTTCATTAGGTAAAGGTAAAGGTTCCCCTCGCACATATATGCTAGTCGTTCCCAACTCTAGGGGGCAGTGCTCATCTCTTTTTCAAAGCCGAAGAGCCAGCACTGTCCGAAGACGTCTTTGTGGTCATGTGGCCGGCATGACTAAACACCAAAGGCGCACGGAACGCTGTTACTTTCCCACCAAAGGTGGTCCCTATTTTTCTACTTGTATTTTTTCGAACTGCTAGAAGCTGGCAGAAGCTGGGACAAGGAACGGGAGCTCACCCCGTTACGCAGCACTAGGGATTCGAACCGCTGAACTGCCGATCTTTTGATCGACAAGCTCAGCGTCTTAACCACTGAGCCACTGCATCCCTTAGCTTTCATTAGATGTGCGTAAAAAAAAAAACACACGATTTTTGAGATTGTATTTAACATAAATTTAGCGGAGACTTCCCACTCCGTGGGAAAAGAAATAACCTGGCATTGTGTTGGATTTTCCTAGACTGCCTGTGGCATGGAGTTGGAGAGCAGCGATCAAGCTGTGGTTATGAGAGATGACAACAAGCGACGCAGGAGGAGGAGGATGAAGCCCTACTGTACAGCCAACACGTTGTCATCAACGGAACTCATCTCTATCGAGTTTGTTTTCCCCGCAACCAGCATCGTACTCGACATCCCTACCAACTGCACGGTGGAGCAGATGAAAGCCCAAGTCTGGATGCGGGCAGTGGAAGGCCACCAGACCTCAGACCTCTTCCGCAAGATCACGCCGGATCAATTTCTCCTCCTGTATCAGAAGAAGGGCCAGTGGTACGAAATCTACGACAAGCACCAGATCATACAGACCCTGGATTGTATCTTATATTGGAAAGTCTTGCAGAAGAAAGTGGGCAAGATCCACGTGGTGGAGAAGCCCAACCCCTCCGAGGAAGTGCAAGAGTTCCAAAAGCGGCTCAATTATTTGATTGGCTACGACGTCACCGACGTGAGCAACGTGCACGACGACGAGCTCGAGTTTGCCCGCCGTAGGCTGGTCACTCCGCGGACGATTGAAGTCTCCTGCCGAGATCCAAAATTGTATTCCATGCCCGTTTGGACTACATCCAAGCCGCTTCCGGAATATTTACTGAGTAGAATTGTCCACAATAATATTTTTCTCAACATCCACAGAGGGACCACCAGCCAGAAGATTAAAGTGGCGGTGGACGACATGCCAGACGTCATCCTCCAGAGCTTCTTCACAAAAATGGCGAAGAAGAAGTCCTTGATGAACATTCCTGAAGACTACAGTGAGCAGGATTTTGTCCTGCGAGTGAGTGGCAGGGATGAGTACATTGTAGGCGAGACACCCATCAAAAACTTCCACTGGATAAGACAGTGTCTGAAAAAGGGGGATGAAATCCATCTGCTCTTAGATGAACCACCGGACCCGAACCAGGATGAAGTTCAGAAAGAAGAATGGCCCTTGGTTGACGATTGCACCGGAGTTTCGGGATATCACGAGCAGCTCACAATCCACGGGAAAGACCATGAAAGGGTGTTCACCATATCTTTGTGGGATTGCAACCGTAAATTCAGAGTCAAGATCATCGGCATGGATATCCCCGTCTTACCGAGAAACACGGACCTGACCGTCTTCGTGGAGGCTAACATTCAACACGGCCAACAGCTCCTTTCCCAGAGGAGAACAACCGCTAAGCCCTTCACCGAAGAGGTTCTGTGGAACGTTTGGCTTGAGTTTGACATCAAGATCAAGGACCTTCCGAAAGGAGCCTTGCTCACCCTGCAGATCTATTGCGGCAAAACTCCCGCGCCATCCGCCAAGGGTAACCTCCACCCTCACGACTCGCCCTCTTCCGACCCCAAATACAAAACTCAGCTTCTTTACTACGTCAACCTTTTGCTGATAGACCACCGCTCCCTGCTCAGAACGGGGGACTACGTCCTTCACATGTGGAAAATCCCGGGCAAGGGGGAAGAGCAAGGAAGCATCAATGCGGATAAATTGACCTCGGCCACTAATCCGGATAAAGAAAACTCAATGGCCATTTCGATCGTTTTGGACAAGTACTGTCACCCCATCGCCTTGCCGAAACACAAGATAGCGTCCGATTCCCAGGGGGACAGAGCTAGAGTTGAAATGCCAAACCAGTTGCGGAAACAGCTGGAGGAGATCATAGCTACCGATCTGTTCAACCCGCTCACCCCCGAAGACAAGGAATTATTGTGGCATTTCCGGTACGAAAGCATAAAGCACCCCAAGGGCTACCCTAAATTGCTTAGCTCGGTGAAATGGGGCCAGCAGGAACAAGTCGCCGAAACTTACCAACTGCTAGCGAAGCGAGAGGCGTGGGACCAGAGCGCTCTGGATGTCGGCTTGCCCATCCAGCTTCTGGATTGCAACTTCTCGGATGAAACCGTGAGAACGATGGCGGTGCAGAAGTTGGAAGGCTTAGAAGATGACGATGTTCTCCATTACCTCTTGCAGCTGGTACAGGTAAGATAGAGGGACGTTTCTGGTGTTGTTAGAGGACCCAAATCTTGGTTAGTACTTGGACGGGAGTCTTATCAGAAGTTGCCAGAGTTGATAATCTGGGTTTGATTTTATTTTTTTTTAAAAAAAAAGAGAAATAAAGAAGATAGATTTTATTTATTTATTTATTTTATTTAATTTGTATACCGCCCTTCTCCAACAGGACTCAGGGCGGTAAACAGCCGTGGTAAAACATAACATATAAAATTTAAAAGCAGTTTAAAAAACATTAAATAATTTTGGCTATCCATTTAAAACAACCCGGGTTAAAACCAGTTACAAATTAAAACCGAAGGGATGGGATCAAGCCAGCCCGGCTAGGTGAAAAAGATGTGTTTTCAGGGCCCGACGAAAAGTCCGGAGGTCTGGTATCGTGCGTATCTCGGGGGGTAGGTCGTTCCAGAGGGACCTTCATCCAGAGATGAAGTTAATAGCAAAAAGACACACGACTGTGCATACAGTAGTGGCCAAAATTGTGGAAACCTTTTGGGAAAAGTGTATTTTTGAGATTTGATGGCTAATAACCCCAATTTTTTTTTGAGTTTCAAGATAATCCTATTCCACTGCTGGAATGGCCTGGGAATAGCCCAGACCTGAACCCAATTGAAAATCTATGGAGCCAATTAAAGAAACTTTAAAAAAAATTTAAAAAACAAACAAACAAACAAACATTTAATACATCAGTCATTCCTTCCCTGTGACATTTCGGTGTTGTCTCCAATCTTTCTTCTTTTTGTTATTTCTTCTGTCTTCATTCTCATCGAATCAATTACAACAATTCATCACTCACAAAATATTCTGATTATTGCATTTTTATACATAACTATTAATTTACTTATTTGTCTCTGTTTTCTAACCAATAGTAAAATTGATTCCATATCTTAAAAGTATTTGAATCTTCTCTTTCTTTAATCATCAAAGTCAATCTATTCATTTCTGCACAATCTAAATTTTTTTTTAATTACTTCTCCTTCCAAAGGTATTCTCTCTGCTTTCCAGTGTTGTGCATAAACAAAGAAACTTGTTAGTCAGAAGCGACCCAGCAATAAAACCCAGTTAATAGAAGCCATCATTCAATCTTGGTTTCACATTATAACAGCTGCAAAACTAAAAGACTTGGTTCGCTCCATGGGAAGACGTTGTAAGGCCGTATAAAGGTTACCCAACTAAGTATTGACTAACATGGGAATAATTTTTGTATATCCCATTTTTTCTATGGGGATAATTTTTGTATATCTCGTTTTTTCTACGTGTTTCACTTTTCTTCTTTATACCGTAACTGCTATTCTAATAGCAAATCCCTCATAAAAGTTATTGCATTACATTCTTGATTAAATTATCTTTCCATTGATATATAATTTTATGGTACTACTCAAAAAAAAAAAAAAGTGGCGTTATTAGCTAGTTTTAGAAAATACACTTTTCCCAAAATGTTTCCACAATTTTGGCCACTGCTGTACATAACTATTAAGAATTAAGCTTTACTAAAGAGAGACACCGTCCGCTAGAGAGAAAGAGGATGGGCTCCAGCATGAGTCCGAAAGCTTGGAAGTAAAACCCGGTGACTGGCCCAGATTGGATCTTGCAACATTGTCCTGGGATATGTATATTCGCCTTCAGATGTGGAGAACTTTTTTTTTTTTTTAAATTTGATTTATATGCCGCCCTTCTCCGGAGACTCAGGGCGGCTTACAATGCGTTAAGCAACTTGCTCAAACAATAGGCCATTTGCAAAAGGGAATTGCATCTAATCCTGTTAGATGCTGGGTATGGCATGTGTGGGAAATCAGTTTTTATTCCTTGTTACATCTCCGGTATTCGCAATTGGCGTTGTCAAATAGCAATGCCTATTCTATTGTGTATAGGGACGTAGTGGCTCAGTGGCTAAGATGCCGAGCTTGTCGATCGAAGGGTCGGCAGTTCCAACAGTTCGAATCCCTAGTGCTGCGTCATGGGGTGAGCTCCCGTGACTTGTCCTAGCTTCTGCCAACCTAGCAGTTCAAAAGCAGGTAAAAAATACAAGTAGAAAAATAGGGACCACCTTTGGTGGGAAGGGAATAGCGTTCCGTGCACCTTTGGTGTTTAGTCATGCCGGCCACGTGACCATGGAGACATCTTCGGACAGCGCTGGCTCTTCGGCTTTGAAACGGAGATGAGCACTGCCCCCTAGGGTCGGGAACGACTAGCACGTATGTGCGAGGGAAACCTTTACCTTTATTCTATTGTGTGTCCTTCACACAATGCTCGAGATACACTGTTTAAGCCTCCCGGAGACAGTCATTTTAAGAGGGGGGGGGGAAATATAAGTGTCTACCCGAATTTGCCTAAAATTCATACAAAACATATCACTTGCATCTCCTGAGGTTTATCAGCTACATGGCGTCTCGAGGCTGAAGCGATGAAGTTTACACTTTTCTTCAGGTGTTTTGCTGGCCCACGTTGTATTTCTTAATTTGCACAAAGCTTAAAAAAAATAAAAAAAAGATAGGCAGGAAATTAAAAACGAATCCCATGATGCGCTAGGAGAAATCCCAGATAAGAACCCCCCAAAATTAAAGTAAAGCGTTTGTGCTTATTTTTCTTTTTCCCCCCTCTTATTTCAGGCAGTCAAATTTGAGCCTTACCATGACAGCGCCCTCGCTCGATTTCTTCTAAAGCGCGGTTTGAGGGTAAGTATTGGAAAAGATTTAAGTCAGATGGCGCATCTATGGAGTGTCTCAGTCATCCAGGTCATGGTTGTCCCAAAGGTGCTTTTTCAAGTAGTGTGTAGTGAACCCCAAGAAATCTCCACATCCATTTGCACTACTCAGGTGATCCTGAGGACACAGACAAATCTCCAAGCGGCTTCAATGACTTTGGTGTAGCCCGTCAGCAGCCTGTGCAGCCAGTAGCTGATTCCAACAGCGAGGAGGCTGGTGTGGTGCTGTGCCAGCAGCCTGTGCAGCTGGCACTCGAGTCGGACAGTGAGGAGGCTGGAGAAGATGTGGTGCCAGAGGCGGGGATTCAGCCAGGGCCTTCAGAACCTCCAGAAGCTCCCTTAAGTGAAGAGGACGAAGAGGAGGAGCCTCTTCTCGATGCACGGGCGCGCAGAGCTGCCAAAAGGCAGGAGTGGCTCCTCAGGTGGAGGTCTCCTCGAGAGTAAGGCTTGGGGCTAATTGGCCACTCCCTTAGCCTATTTAAGGAGGAACGCCAACTGAAGCAATTTTCAGGGAACAACTTCGTTCACTCTCCTTCATGTCTGGATCTTAGTTCTCTGCAAGTTGCCTCTGGGCTTTCTGCCAACCATAGTAAGATTACGATTATTTATTCTTTGGATTCTTGTAGGCTGTTAAGAAAGTTAATTAACAGCCTTTGTTTGAAAAAGACTGATTTAATTTAGTAAACTAAGGTTTGTACAGACTTTGTGTGTGCTGCGTTCTTTGGGGTCCGTAGCTGGGGCAGAACAGACTCTCTAAAAAGGATGCAAATGACCAGCTTTTCTGCAAGGAATATAAATCCTTCCGTTCCCCACTGTCCAGTCAGAGCTGAAGAAGCTTCTTGGATGAGAAGCGAAACGTCTTCAAAAGAAAAACAAGGAAGTCCAGTGGCCTCCTGAAAAAGCACCTTGGGGACAACCTTGACTTGGGTGACTGAAAATCTCTACAGACTTTTAGCTGTTCAATTTGGGATGAACACCCTTGGAATGGTGTGGGAGTTGGAATGGATTTCCAGAGGAAAAAAATTGCAGACTACAGGAACTACTCAGGTGACCCTGAGGACACAGATAAACCTCCAAGTGGCCTCAACGACCTTCTAAAAAGATGCGAATGACCAGCCGTCTGCAAGGAGTATAAATTCTTCCATTCCCCCACCATTCAGTTAGAGCTGAAGAAGCTTCTTGGATGAGAAGCGAAACGTCTTCAAAAGAAATACCAGAAAGTCCAGTTGCCTCTTGGAAAAAGCACCTTTGATCCCCTTTTGCGACCTTCTGACAAGCAGAGTCAATGGGGAAGCCAGATTCACTTAACAACTGTGTAATTAATTTAACACCTGTAGTTATTCCCTTAACCACTGTGGTTACCACTTGGCACAATTGTGGTTGTAAGTCGAGAACTGCTTGTACTACATTTCTGATTTGCAAAATCAGACCTCTTTTATTTATTTGTCTGTCTGTCTGTCTGTCTGTATATATACTGTACACAGCCTATATATATATATATACACACACACACACACAACCTAAATATATTATATATATATATATATATATATATATACCGTGTTTCCCCAAAAATAAGACCCTGTGTTATATTATTTTGAACCCCGAAATAAGCGTGTGGCCTTATTTTCGGGGAGGTCTTATTATTTTGGGGCGCGTGGAGCGAGATGGGGCTCCTCTTGCCGTCTTACCTGATTTCCAGCTCTGCGTTTAAATATTTTGGGGGGGGCTTATTTTCAGGGGGGGCTTATTTTAGCGCATGCGCTCAAAAGCCCGATTGGGCTTATTATCAGGGGGTATCTTATTTTCAGGGAATCAGGGTATATATTATTTATACATTTTTTTTTAGTAAACATGAAAATTCAATATCTACATGAACAGTCTGTTGTCTGGGTACAGATATTTTTGAGAAATAATAATAGTAATAACAGCAATAATATTCATACCATTGATAATAATCACATCATCATAATATTGACGGCTGACTCAGCTTTCCATCCTTTCTAAGGTAGGTAAAATGAGGACCCAGATTATGGGGGCAATAAGATGACTTTGTATAAATATACAAAAGGATGAAGCCTATTGCTTAACGCATTGTAAGCCGCCCTGAGTCTCCGGAGAAGGGCGGCATATAAATCAAATTAAAAAAAAAAAATTGCTTATCCATACTAATAAACCTTCATTGTATAATTAGTCATTCTCTTAAACTTTTTAAGTTTCTAACTTTTGTTTCTGTTAGCTAACCATTGGTAAAACGAATCCCATGTTCAAAAATATTCTGCTTCTTCCTTCTCCTTAATTTTAAGTGTTAATCTATCCATCTCTGCACATTCTAATATATATTTTTTTAATTACACTTTCATCTGTTCTTCATTTTCCCACTGTTGTGCAAAAGCAATTCTCGCTGCTTTTAACAGATGTAAAATTAAATATGTATTCCCTTTTATTGTACTTTTCTGGTAAAACCCCCGACAAGAATATTTCTGGTTTTAGATCTAATCTAGATCAGATCTCTTTAAGAACCCGTCTTAGATGCTACCCTTTCCATTCATAGAACAAGCGGATCGGACACTTCCTGTTCTGGTTTTTGAGAAGCGAGATTGCTCAATCCATGCACTACCAGCAGAGGTTTGCCGTGATCTTAGAAGCGTATCTGAGAGGTTGTGGCAGAGCGATGCTGAAGGACTTCCTCAGGCAGGTCCAAGTGACGGAGCTGCTGCACAAGGTCACCAGGGAGATCAAAACCATTTCTGCAGAGAAGTACGACGTCACCCCGCAAGGTAGGCGATGTCTTGAGAAGCGTCGTTTCAGATCTCAGGCGTTCGCCTCCCTCGTTTTTAGTCGCCGGCAGCAAAGTCCGTGGTATCTTTGCATCAGAGTTGTGGTTTCCAGATGCGTCGGTTGCGAATCAGATTTTTAAAAAAACCCTAAAAAGATACTCATAGAAGAGACTTATCGGTAGCTCAGGGTTGAACTCTGGGGTCCTCGGTGCTCTCTGAGCTTGGTGGTTTTCTCGCAGATGTTTTGTTACCAAACTAGGTAACATCAGCAGTGCTAGAAGGGAGAAGGGTTTGTCAAGTAGAGGAGGAGGAGGAGGAGGAGGAGGAGGAGGAGGAGGAGGACGGCGACGACGATTTTGAGACCCTTGGTGTTCTCTGAGCTTGCTTGTTTTCTTGCAGATGTTTTATTACCAAACTACCTAACATCATCAGTGCTACGAGGGAGTAGGGTTTGTGGAATAGAGGAGGGAGGGGACTGTGGGGCCTTGGTGCTCTCTGAGCTTGGGGGTTTTCTTGCAGACGTTTCATGACCCAACTAGGTAACATCATCAGTGCTAGAAGGCAGGGAGGTTGGAAAGAAGGGAGGGAGGGAGGAAGGAAGGAAGGAAGGAAGGAAGGAAAGAAGGAAGGATGGAGGACTGTAGGGTCCTTGGTGCTCTCTGAGCTTGATGGTTTTCTCGCAGACGTTTTGTTACCAAACTAGGTAACATCAGCAGTGCTAGAAGGGAGTGGGATTTGCAGAACAGAGAAAGAGGAGGAGGAGGAGGAGGAGGGAGAAGACTGTGGGGTCCTTGGTACCCTCTGAGCTTGGTGACCGCTGTCCTAACGGAGAAATAGGGGATGTACCAGCAATTCCTCACCCCGTTTCATTCTAATTGAATTATGTTTCTGATTTTTTAAAAAAAATATTTTTTTCCCCCCACTCTCATTTTTTTTAGTCATCGCGCAGCTCAAACAAAAACTCGAGAGGCTACAGGACAACAGGTTTCCAGAATGTTTTAGAGTTCCCTATGATCCGGGACTGAAAGCAGGAGCACTGGTGGTAAATATAATTTCCTTCTCTTTTTAGCAAAGTCGGATGAATGAGGGTCAGTGGGATTAGAGGCGAAGAGGTTGTAGAAAAAATGGTTTTAAAAGTTTTAAAAAAAAAAAATCGGCCACGCCCACCTAGTCACATTACCCCCCCACCAAGCCACGCCCACCGAATTAGTAGTAACAAATTTTAGATTTCACCACTGATGTATCGTAAGGGATGAGGTTGATCCCAAGAAGATGGATTTCAAACTCCGTGTTTCACATTTTTAATTTCATTCGGTTTGAGACTGCAGGTAGTCCTCGAATTACAACGGTTCATTTAAGTGACCTTTCAAAGTCACAACGGCCCTGAAAAAAGTGACGTAGGACCGTTTTTTCACACTCGCAACCATTGCAGCATCCCTGTGGTCACGTGATCAAAATCCAGAAGCTTGGCAACTGGCATGTACTTATGACTGTTGCAGTGTCCCGGGGTCACGTCATTCCCTTTTGCCACCCTTCTGATGGGCAAAATCAATGGGGAAACCTGATTCACTTCACAACTGGGTTACTCATTTATCGACTGCAGCGTTTCAATTAGCAACTTGGGCAAAAAATGTCATAAAATGGGGGAAAAACTCAAGTTAAATGTCTCGCTTAGCAACAGAAATGTTGGGCTCAATTGTGGTCATACGTCGAGGACTATCTGGAGATGTTCGGTCCTGGCCTTTAATCATGAGATGTCAATTCCGGCGGTGAACAGTGTAGTTATAAGTGTCCCTCTTTTCTCGCAGATCGAAAAATGTAAAGTAATGGCCTCCAAGAAAAAACCTCTGTGGCTAGAATTCAAATGCGCGGATCCAACCTCTCTCTCCAGCGAAACCATCGGCATCATCTTCAAACACGGTGATGATCTGAGACAGGATATGCTCATTTTACAGGTAATATGTATACAACACACTGAGGGAAGCGAGTGAGATAGGAGAACTTCTCAGAGTTGTCAAAACTTGATTTCATTGAGGGCCGCATCAGGGCTGTGTTTGATCTCGGGGGGCAGGAAGCAGGGGGGACGTGGCCATCTTGACGTCCCTTGTGTTGGGGGGCGCCTGTGGTGGCTTTTTTTTTTTTAAAGGAAAAAAGCCTCTGACCATCAGGCAACTCAGCTGGGATCGTCAGAGCTTTTTAAAAGCATTTTTTTCTACAACCTTTTCGGCCAAAGAAGTTGTAGAAAAAATGCTTTTAAAAGGCTCTGACGATCCCAGCTGAGCCGCGTGATCATCAGAGGCTTTTTTTTTTTTTTTTTTTTAAAAGCTTTTTTTGTCCCAAGAAAAAATGCTTTTAAAAGAAAAAAAAAAAAGCCTCTGATGATCGCGTGGCTCAGCTAGGCGGGGGTGGGGGCAGGGATTTTTGCTACCGGTTCTCCGAACCACCCGCCGCCATTGCCACTGGATCGGGCGATCCGGTCCAAACTGGGAGCATTTCACTCCTTATTTCTACCCATTGAAATTATATGGATGTATCCAGATGTTCAGCTTAGTGATAGAAAGCGCACTTCATCTCTTCTTTCGTCACTCAACAAACCTTTTATCTCATTCACCGAGATGAAGGTGACGGAAACGAGCATAGAAGGCAGGATGTTTATGCGTTTTAGTGAACCGGATTTTTTTTCGTTTTGAATTCTGCTCCACAAGCTGCTTCTGTTATTTGTCTTGTCAAGATTGTTTTGCAACATTTATATAGTATAATTCAGAGCCCAGGGCCTGCCAGATGTTTGGACTGCATCAAACTCACTCCCCGATCATCCCCGTGCTAACGGAGGCTGTCATTTTCATTCTGCCTGCAGGAATTGTATTTACTTACTGTATATTTATATTATTTATTATTTATATTTTCTATTTCTTAACCATCCATCTCCTTCAGACAGGGTCCCTGGGCAGGGCCATAAGGAAATAACTTGCTTGTTTGATTTTGTGCGTTCTGTTTGGCAGCTCAACTCTGTAGCTTTCATTCACCCTGTTTCCCCCAAAGTAAAATATTCCCCTGATAATAAGCCCAATCGGGCTTTTGAGCGCATGGCAATAAGGCCAAGCGCTTATTCCAGGATTCAAAAAAAATATAAGACAGGGTCTTATTTTTGGGGAAACACGGTAGTAAGTTTAGTGAGTCCATGTCACTGTCCTGTAATGAAGAATTTGATTTGAAATAACATATTGAATTCATATGAATGTTTCTAAGATTTTTTTAAAAGAAAAAAATAGCCCCTGTTGGACCAGCTTGGGCATTTAGAAAAAAAAGACCCTTTACTCCATTCATAATGAAAGATATATTTTAACTGAAGTCAAGTGGTTACACTGTAAGAAAAGCCAGATCTGAAAGTTTCCTGGGTAAACTGAATAATTTCCCATTCTCCCGGGTGTTCTTGCTATTGGGCGGACATTTTCCTTCCGTTCCTATGCCTATGTCCCTGGACCTTTCAACAGTTGTCTCAGGTTGGCATTTCTGGTTCCTGACATCCTCCCTCCCCAGGGGTAGGCTGCTGGGGGTTCGGGAGAACCTCTAGCTAAGATTCTGTGCAGTTCGGAGAACCCCCAAATCCCACTCCGGGCTGGCCCTGCCCATCCCACCCCGCCCCTCCCAGAAGTCCCCACACAGCCCCCTTTAGATGCAGGTAAGTGCAGGGCGTGCGCGGAGGCTAGGGAGAAAAATGGGCCTACCGAAAATTCGGGAAGGCCAGAAACGGGCCTGTTTCCGGCCTCCAGAGGGCCTCCAGAGCCTGGGGAGGGCAAAAACACACACCCCTCCATGGTGCAGTAGGCCAACTAGGCCACGCCCATCATGGCCACGCCCACCCAGCAACCCCGGGCAGAGAACCCCTTGCTCAAATTTTTGAAGCCCACCCCTGCCCCTCCCCGTAGTTTATGGCAGGCCGCCATCAAAGCAAAGTAGAGCTGAAGCGATGTGATGGCAGATCTGACAGTCCCCTGATGCGGTTTGCCTTTTCTTTCTATTAGATACTTCGAATCATGGAGTCAATATGGGAAGAAGAGTCCTTAGATTTATGTTTATTACCCTACGGATGTATTTCTACAGGGAATAAAATAGGTAATGTATTTGTCCGAAGCAGAGCTTTTAAAAATCACAACTTGGTCCAGAATTTATAATCATTCGTTTAAGGACCGTTTGAAGTTACAACGACTCTGGGGAAAAAAAAGCGACTTATGACCGTTTTTTACACTTAACAATCGTTGCAGCCTCCCCGTGGTCACGTGCTCAAAATTCAGACATTTGGCAGTTGACTCATATTTATGACCATTGCAGTCTCCGGGTTCATGTGATCCCCTTTTGCGACCTTCTGATGAGCAAAGTCAATAGAGAAAGCCAGATTCACTTAACAACCAGGTTCCTAACTTAACAACTGCAGTGATTTTACTTAGCTACTGTGGCTAGAAAGGTCGTAAAATGGGGCAAAACTCACTTAATGTCTCACTTAGCAACATAAATTTTAGGCTCAGTTCCCACAGGAGTTGAAATGTTTTGATGTGATGAAAGTCAAGCTTTTTTTCAGCTTTTTTATATCTGAAGTATAGTAGACTATGGACGTGGTAGCTCAGTGGCTAAGACACTGAGCTTGTCGATCGAAAGGTCGGCTGTTCAGCGGTTCGAATCCCTAGTGCCGCATAACGGGGTGAGCTCCCGCGACTTGTCCCAGCTTCTGCCAACCTAGCAGTTCGAAAGCACATAAAAAATGCAAGTAGAAAAATAGGAACCTCCTTTGGTGGGAAGGTAACAGCGTTCCATGCGCCTTTGGGGTTTAGTCATGCCGGCCACATGACCACGGAGACGTCTTCGGACAGCGCTGGCTCTTCGGCTTTGAAACGGAGATGAGCACTGCCCCCTAGAGTCGGGAACGACTAGCACATATGTGCGAGGGGAACCTTTACTTTTTTATATCTGAAGTATTTTCTCTAAAGAAGCTTCACTGAACGTTCTTAGTAATAACTTCTTCTTCATTTTTGGGGTACCCAGAGATTTTGGATTTGTGGATTGCATAGGTAGCCATCTCACAAAATATGTCAGTCTTATATGGAGCTCTCTTCATTTAAGTAAATATAAATAACGAGATATGACACATGATAATCAATCTTGTCAGCTTCTCATTTGACCTGAATGGCACACTTGGGGTATTTAAACCCCCCCCCCCCAAATTAATTTGGTGCCTGACTGGTTTATTTCCTATTGCTCTGGAGAAATTAAATCTTTCACTTTGTGTCTCCATTTCTTTTTTCATTTCAGTATAACTGAATTTACATTACGAAAGGGGTGGGCTGCTATGGCCCCTTTACGACCTATGGACTTCATCTCCCAGAATTCCTGAACCAACATGGCTGGCTGGCTCAGGAATTCTGGGAGTTGAAGTCCACAGGTCCTCAAGGGGTCATGGTTTCCCATCCCGGCATTATGGGGACATAATTACAACATTGCTCATGTTCTGAGTGATGAATTGTGACATTTTCCCTCGTCTCTTCCTCCTTGAGGTGATATTTCAGCTAGGGCCACAGCTGCGGCGGAAGGATGTTGTCACAGACAGCATATTTATTTATTATTTATTCTGGGTTTTCAAGGCAGTTTATCTAACGTCCTGTGAGCTGGATTGAGTTGAAAGAGAGTAATTGGTCTGAAGTCATCTAGATAGCATCTTCCCTGGGGGAAGATCTGTCTGTCTGTCTCTCTCTCTCTCTCTCTGTGTCTGTCTCTGTCACTCTGTCACACACACATAGACACACGCTTCTATCTGTCTGTCTATCTCTTTCTCTCTCATCTCTATCTATCTAATCTCTCTCTCTCTCTGATCTCTCTCTCTCTCTCTCTCCAGTATCTATATCTATGTATCATCTACACTATCTATCTATCTATCTATCTATCTATCTATCTATCTATCTATCTATCTATCTATCTATCTATCTATCATCTCTCTCTCTCATCTCTATATCTATCTAATCTCTCTCTCTCTCTCTTTCTTCTCTCTCTCTCTCTCTACAGTATCTATATCTATGTATCATCTACAGTATCTATCTATCTATCTATCTATCTATCTATCTATCTATCATCTATCTATCTCATCTCTATATCTATCTAATCTCTCTCTCTCTCTGATCTCTCTCTCTCTACAGTATCTATATCTATGTATCATCTACAGTATCTATCTATCTATCTCTCTCTCTCTCTCTCTATCTATCTATCTATCGTGTTTCCCCGAAAATAAGACCCTGTCTTATATTTTTTTGAACCCCAAAATAAGCACTTGGCCTTATTTTCGGGGAAGTCTTATTATTTTGGGGCGTGTTGAGCAAGATGGGGCTCCTCTTGCTGTCTTACCTGATTTCCAACTCTGTCTCCCTAACCCTAACCAGTGGAAATGGCGGAGACCAACTGTGCATACGGTTAAATATTTTTTTGGGGGGCTTATTTGGGGGGGGGCTTATTTCAGTGCAAGCGCTCAAAAGCCCGATTGGGCTTATAATCAGGGAATGTCTTATTTTCGGGGAAATGGTATCTATCATCTATCTGTCCATCCATCCATCCATCCTGTCCTATGCCTGCCTGCCTGCCTGCCTATCTGTCTCTCTCTCTCTCTCTCTCTCTTGATCTATCAATCTATTAAACATCTATTCCACTCAATTTGCCTATAAGGTGACTCAGTACTTATGAGATAGTCTAGACAAGAATGACTAGATGTAGCAACACTACTTTTATTATGAGGTTATGAGGTTATAGTAATAGAAACTTGCAAGTCTGAACGTACCCCTCCCTGCCCCTCAATTTTACTCCCCCCAACTTGTGTTTGTAAATCAATTCAATTCAGTTCAATTAGTTCAATTTATATGCTGCTGTCAAGTTTCCGAAAGATGCCCTAATTAATTCATGAGCCATGATCCAAACTTCAAAGGAAATACAGTCATTTATTAGGAGCAACATTCCAGCAATACTCGGATGCAGTTAGGACTGATCCCACGTAAATTTACGTTCCCCTATGACCCTGTCTCTCCCCTCCTCTCTGGCCATGTCATAAATCACATTCTCCAATTAACCACTTTGGCTGGCTGTGAAACCTAACACCCTCCTTCTGATTGCGGTCAGGAAGAATGTATGGAATTCACTTCAGTTCTCCCTCCCTCCTGCTCATGGCAACTTGAAAGCTTTGCAAGTTGACAGCCGCCTTTCTCCGAAGACTCAGGGCGGCTTACAATGCATTTAAAAAGCCATTATAAAAACATTTAAAAATTAAAACATTAAAACCCATTCATACCATTCATGGCCGGATCTCACAAGATCGCAACAGCGAGATCAACGGCCCCAGGCCTGCCGGAAAAACCAGGTCTTCACCGCTTTTCGGAAGGCCAATAGAGTGGGGGTGGTCCGGACCTCAGGAGGTAACTGGTTCCAGAGAGCTGGGGCAGCCACAGAGAAGGCCCTCCCCTGCAGGCCCGCCAGCCGGCATTGTTTAGCTGACGGGACCCGGAGGAGACCAACTCTGTGGGATCTTACCGGTTGCTGGGAGCTATGCGGTAGAAGGCGGTCTCGAAGATAGGCCTACCTGTCGTCCTGATCTATTTTCACTATCTTAGTCTGGTCTATTTTATAAAACTGACAGTAGCACATCTGGAAGGGGAGGAAGAAGAGAAAGAAATGGCGTGATTCTTCCACCCTGCAGTGATGCTATTGGTTCAAACCTTACTTTCTTTTCTTTTTAAACAGGAATGATTGAAATTGTAAAAGATGCTAATACAATTGCCAAAATCCAGCAAAGCACAGTTGGGAACACTGGGGCCTTTAAAGACGAAATACTAAACCAGTGGCTTAAGGAGAAGTGTGTAATTGAAGAAAAGGTACGTGTTCCTATTTCTGCTACTCAGGGGTGAAATCCAGCTGGTTCTGACAGTTCTGGCGAACCGGTAGCGGAAATTTTGAGCAGTTCAGAGAACTGGTAGCGGAAATTTTGAGTAGTTCTGAGAACCGGCAAATACCACCTCTGGCTGGCCCCAGAGTGGAGTGGGAATGGAGATTTTGCAATATCCTCCCCCCAGGAGTGGGAAGGGAATGAGGATTTTGCAATATCCTTCCCCTGCCATGCCCACCAAGCCACACCCACCAAGCCACACCACGCCCACAGAACCAGTAGTAAAAAAAAAAAAATTGAATTCCACCAGTGCTGCTACTGCTATTATTTCTGTTTGAAAAAGTATTATTTCTTTGTAAGCCATTACGGGGTACTTCAAGAGGTGTCCAACCTTGGCAACTCTTAAGACGTATGGACTTCAATTCCCAGAATTCCCCAGACAGTATAAGAGGATTATCTGGAACTTGGGGGGGGGGGGGAAATGACAGGATGGATATAGGAACATTCACTTAAGAAGAGGGAGGGAGGGAAGGAGGGAGAAAAAGAGTGACTTTTAGCATACTGGATACCAGTATCTATATGTTTCACTGCTCTGTATTTGTTTTAGATCATTTTTTTAAAAAAATTCTTTTCACTATGCCTTGTGAGTCAATAACACTCTACATTTGCTTTTCTTTTCTTTAGTAAATCCTCTGTCTTGCCTGATCGTTTGTAAAACAATCAGAACCAGGGGTGGGCTTCAAAAATTTGAGCAAGGGTTTCCCTGCCCAGTTGCTGGGTGGGCGTGGCCATGGTGGGCGTGGCCTAGTCGGCCTCCTGTACCATGGCGGGTGGGGTGTTTTTCCCCTCCCCGGGCTCTGAAAGTTTGCATTGAGCCTCCGGCAGGGCGAAAACGGCCTCCCCAGGCTCCGGAGGCCCTCTGGAGGCCGGAAACAGGCCCGTTTCTGGCCTTCCCAAAGTTCCGGTAGGCTCATTTTTCACCCTCCCTAAGCTTCCGTGCGCGCCCTGCACTTACCTGCATCCAAAACGGGCCGCGTGGGGACTCCTGGGAGGAGCAGGATGGGCGGGGCCAGCCAGGAGTGGGATTTGGGGGTTCTCCGAACTGCACAGAATCTTAGCTAGAGGTTCTCCCGAACCCCTACGAACCCCTAGCAGCCCACCCAATCCACAGATATGTAAGAATGTGAAGGTTGTTGAGTTGCCAGCACCAACTTGATAAGAGGTGGAATCTTGGTTGAAATCAAAACCATTTGATTAAATTGATCTTGCATATACCCATAGTCCTCGAGGTACAACCACAATTGAGCCCAAAATTTACGTTGCTAAGTGAAAGATTTGTTAAGTGAGTTCCACCCCCCCCATTTTACGACCTTTCTGGACACAGTTGCTAAGTGAATCGTTACAGTTGTTAAGTTAGTAACCCGGTCGTTAAGTGAATCCGGCTTCCCCCTTGACTTTGCTGGTCAGACGGTCGCAAAAGGGGACCACACTGCAACCGCCATAAATAGGAGTCAGTTGACAAGCGTCTGAATTTTAATCACGTGACCGTGGGGATGCCGCCACGGTTGTAAGTGTGAAACTCACTTTTTTCAGCAGTTATAACTTCGAACGGTCACTAAATGAACCGTTGTAAGGTGAGGACTATCTGTACTGCAGTTTGGCACAAAGCTGGTAATCTGAACCATTTCCTTAACAGTTTCAGGCAGCCGTGGAGCGGTTTGTGTATTCTTGTGCTGGATATTGTGTGGCAACCTTCGTACTTGGCATAGGAGATAGGCACAACGACAACATTATGATCACAGGATCAGGTACGTTTTGATTGAATTGAGTGACAGCGTTGACAGGGGTGTCAAATTCGATATCATTGAGGGCCACGTCAGGCTTGCGTTTGACCTTGGGGGGCCAGGGTGGGCGTGGCCAGCTGAATGTCACTCATGTCGGGGGCACCGGTGCTGGCTGTGCCAGCAAAAACAGGCTCCCAAGCTCCGTTTCCAGCTGCGACGCCTCCTGCAACACTCTGTCAGCGAAAACGGGCTCCCGAGCTCCATTTCCGGCTGCGACGGCCTCCTGCAACCCTCTGCCAGCGAAAATGGGCTCCCGAGCTCCGTTTTTGGCTGGGACGGCCTCCTGCAACCCCTGTGCCAGCAAAAACAGGCTCCCAAGCTCCGTTTCCAGCTGCGACGGCCTCCTGCAACCCTGTGCCAGCGAAAACGGGCTCCCGAGCTCCGTTTTCGACTGCGACAGCCTCCTGCAACCCTCTGCCAGCGAAAACGGGCTCCCGAGCTCCGTTTTCGGCTGCGACGGCCTCCTGCAACCCTGTGCCAGCAAAAACGGGCTCCCGAGCTCCATTTTCGGCTGCGACGGCCTCCTGCAACTCTTTGCCAGTGAAAACAGTGTTCCGTTTTCCCTCCTGAGCTCTGTTTTTGCTGGCAGAGGCACCACGGGCCGGTCCTTTGCTGTTTTCAGGGCAGCCCCATGGGCCAGATCTAAGCACCCCACAGGCCGGATCCGGCCCCCGGATCTTGAGTTTGACACCCCTGGTCTAGTCTATGACAAAAAGCCCATTTGCACCACTCCATCAAGAAAGGCATCATTCCTTAACTGGTTGGGTTTGGTGCTGATTATTTATGCCTTGGTTATATTCTGACTTGACTACTGCAATGGGATGTCCGTGGGGTTACCCTTGAAACCTCTCCAGAAGTTGCTGTTAGCATGGCAAATAGCAGTGTGATGGCCAAGTAGTGTAGGAAAAGAGAGAATACAGGTAGTCCTCAACTTACGACCACAATTGAGCTCCAAATTTCTGTTGCTAAGTGAGACAAGTTGTGAGTTTTGCCTCGTTTTACGACCTTTCTCGTCACAGTTGTTAAGCGAATGGCTGCGGTTGTTAAGTTAGTCGCACGGTTGCAGACATTGGATAATAGAAAAGAGGAACAATCAAAGTTACAACGGCACTGAAGAAAATGACTTACGGCCGTTTTTCATACTTACGACCATTGCAGTTTCCCCGTTGCAATCGTGAAGTTAGTAACACAGTTAAGTGAACTTGGCTTCCCCATTGCTTGTCAAAAGGTCATAAGAGGATCACGTGATTCCCCGGGACACTGCAACCGTCATAAATAGGAGTCAGTTGCCAAGCATCTGAATTTGATCACAAATTCAGGATGCACTAATGGTTGTAAGCAATGGTGGCATTCAGCCGGTTCGGGAAAACCGGTAGCTAAATTGCTGGCTGGCCCCTCCCCATACACCCCATTTTGGCTCCCAGGTAAGTGCAGGGAGGCCTTTTAGGCCCAAAACGGCGCTCAGGAGGGTGCGGCGCCCCCCCCAGCCCATTTTTGTTGCCAGGGGAGTGCAGGAGGCAGAGTGCTGCCTGTCACACCCCCTGGCCACGCCCACCATGGCCACGCCCACCCAACCGTTCTTTAGGGCAGAGAACCTATTCTATTGTTAAATTATTTGAATCCCACCACTGGTCTTAAGTATGAAAAATTGTCATCAGTAATTTTCTTCGTGGTGTTGTTATCTTCGAACGGTCGCTAAACGAACCGTTGTAAATCGAAGACGACTTGTGTAAGATGAACGAAGAGAACTGATGGCCAGGAATGCAGTCCTTTGATTATAGAAGAAAAGCAGATTTTGACAAAAGTTGGAGAGCTTCAATTATAAAAGCAAACACAGATGGAAGGCCCAAAAAAGTTGTGTGGTTTTTTTTTTTTTTTTTCGTAAAAAGTCATCCTTTTTGATGTGTTTTTAATTACCCGGCATAATATGGATTTTTTTCCCCCCCTTTTGTTTCCAAGGTAATCTCTTTCATATCGATTTTGGCCATATACTTGGAAATTACAAAAGCTTCCTTGGAATTAATAAGGAAAGAGTTCCTTTTGTCTTAACGCCCGATTTCCTTTTCGTCATGGGGACATCTGGAAAGAAAACAAGTCTGCGCTTTCAGAATTTTCAGGTAAGCAGGCCAACAAATAATCCTTGTGTCAGGGTTCCAAGTAACACACCCAACGAAAGAAAACTCCGAGCCTTGAAGTTCCTCAAAGTTCCATTTTATTAGAGATGGCATCTTGGCACATCTGGGACAGTGGTGGGTTCCTCCAGGTTCGGTCCGGTTCGGCCGAGCCGGTAGCGGTGACGATATGACGTCACCGAACCGGTTCTCCCCCCCGCCTTCCCCCCCCACCCACGTTATTCTTACCTTTTATTTGGTCCCACCCCCAATCTATTGCTGCCTCCTGAGTCCCAGCTGATGACTAGAGGGAAAAAAACTGTTTAAACTCTTGCCGCGGGGCTTCAAAGGGCCGCCCTACAGCTGATCAGTGTTAAAAGCAAACAAATGAGTCGGGTCGTAAGTGCGAGGACTGGTCGTAAGTGCGAGGACCTTCCAGAAATGACTCTGACCAGCTAGCCACGCCCACCTAGTCACATGACCTCCAAGCCACACCCACAAAATAAGCCATGCCCAGAGAACCGGTAGTAAAAAAATTTAGAACCCACCCCTGATATGGGAAAACCCGAATCGGAAAGCTTCCAGGTTTTCCCCACCCAAAGGAAAGTCCGAGTCCCTGCCCAGCACCCACATGTTCCATCGCGTGGCCCAATCAAACCACCGTCCCAACTGGAGATGCCTCAGAGTTTCATCCCCCCAGGCGCAGAGCAAGATGTCCTTGACTCTCTGAGAAAGGAATGTTATTATGATCAGAGGTGGTCTTCATCCGGTTCGGACCAGTTCAGGCGAACTGGTATTGGCGACCTATGGGAATGGGTATAGGTGGGATTGGGCCCACCCACCCGGGTGCAATCCCATCCTCTATCGCTATGTTTTTGACGCCGCGCGCATGCACGGACGGCAACGTGCAAGCGAATTGCTGTGTTGTTTCATGTCACACGCCTGCGTGGACAGAGCGCGCGACCGAATTGCCGTGTTTTGTGACACCGCACGCATGTGCGGACGGCGCGCGCACGCTCACGTTTCCGATGCTGGGCGAACCGGTTGCTACAGTATGTGAATCCCACCTCTTGATTATGACTAGATATCACTCACGCTCCGTACAATCCCGCCTCCCAATTTCCCACAGTAGTAAATGTGACAGGCCTGAAGGCCCAACACAAAAGATGGCTTCCAGGCCTGACACCTCAGTGATGTAACCTGACAGAAAGTTAAAATGTTATATAATCTCATTCATGGGATTAAAAAAAATATTGTTTTTGAAAGAGGCAGGTTGTTTTCGGAGGCTTCTTTTCATAAGCCCGAGACATCTTGTTTGAGATTTCAAAAGGAATAATGGGAGACAGGTGGTCCTCGAATTATGAACACAATTGAGCCCCAAATCTCTGTTGGTAAGGGAGAAATTTAAGTGAGTTTCGCCCCATTTAACAACCTTTCTTGCCACGGTTGTTAAGTGAATCACTGCAGCTGTTAAGTTAGTATAATAGTTAAGTGAATTCTGTTCTGTTCTGTTCTGTTCTGTTCTGTTCTGTTCTGTTCTGTTCTATTCTATTCTATTCTATTCTATTCTATTCTATTCTATTCCATTCCATATTTTCTATTCTGTTCTGTTCTGTTCTGTTCTATTCTATTCTATTCCATTCCATTCCATTCCATTCCATTCCATTCCATTCCATTCCATTCCATATTTTCTATTCCATTCCATTCCATTCCATTCCATTCCATATTTTCTATTCTATTCTATTCTATTCTATTCTGTTCTGTTCTGTTCTGTTCTGTTCTATTCTATTCTGTTCCACTCCATTCCATTCCATGTTTTCTATTCTATTCCATTCCATTCCATATTTTCTATTCTATTCCATTCCATTCCATTCCATATTTTCTATTCTATTCTATTCTATTCTATTCTATTCTATTCTATTCTATTCCATTCCATTCCATTCCATTCCATTCCATTCCATATTTTCTTTTCTATCCTATCCTATCCTATCCCATCCCGTCCTGTCCTGTCCTGTCCTGTCCTGTTCTATGCCATTCCATTCCATTCCATTCCATTCTATATTTTCTATTTCTATTCCATTCCATTCCAATTTGCCTTGGATCTTTTGTTTGTTCTGCAGGATATTTGCGTGCGGGCTTACCTTGCTCTTCGGAAACACACCAATCTCCTCATCATCCTCTTTTCGATGATGCTGATGACGGGGATGCCCCAGCTGACCAGCAAGGAGGACATCGAATACATCCGCGATGCACTGACGGTCGGCAAACACGAAGAGGATGCTAAGAAGTATTTTCTAGATCAGATCGAAGTTTGTCGGGACAAAGGCTGGACTGTGCAGTTCAACTGGTTCCTCCATCTTGTGCTCGGAATCAAACAGGGCGTTGAAAAGCATTCTGCCTAAATATGGTATCAAGGTACAGGTCGTCCTCGACGTACGACCACCCTGGAGCCCAAAATTTCAATTGCTAAGCGAGGCAGTTGTTAAGTGAGCTCTGCCCCATTTCACCATCTTTTGTTCTGACCCAGCTCCTCAAACACGACAAATCCTCTGAAGCAATGGTGGGATTCAAAATTTGTTACTACCAGTTTCGTGGGCATGCTTGGTGGGCGTGGCCAGGGGGTGTGACAGGCAGCACTCGGCCTCCTGCACCCCCTGGGAGCAAAAATGGGCCGCGGGGGGATGTGCCGCCCCTCAGTGCCCAGTTTTGGGCGTAGGAGGCCTCCCTGCAATTATCTGGGAGCCAAAAAGGGGCGCGTGGGGACTCCGGGAAGGGGCAGGGCAGAAACGGGCAAGGCCAGCCAGCAATTTAACTACCGGTTCTCCCGAACTGGCTCGAACCGGCTGAATCCCACCACTGCTCTGAAGTTAACTCAAAGATTTCTTTATTAGGAGCGCCAGCAGCCCCGGCAAAAAGTTTCTCTCAACGCCGGCTGACAAGTCCATCCAGCCGGAAGATGAATAGTTGTCTGCCACATCTAATCCTCTCCTCCCCTTGCCTTTTATCCCCAGAGCTAGGGTGGGGCTTCGCTAGCAGTAGTGGCTCTTCCGTCCCGAGGACCGGCCCATAGATTTCCACTGCTCTCCTCTCCTCTGCCTTCTGTGCATTCAGACGTCAGGCACTGGATCCAGCTGTTCTTCCTCATCAGCCATCTCCAGACCTGGGGGCTGTTGACTCTCCATCTGAGGGCTGACGGACGGCCCAGACTCCGCCTCTGTCACTCTCTCTGCCCGCTCCATTCCCTCTTCCCCCTCGGAGGTCTCAGGTTGCCTTGATGCGGGGACCCTGATTCCCACGCCTTCTCCTCCTCCTCTGATTTGACTGCGGCGGTCGATAGACCACAACACCTTTCTTGCCGCCGTTGTTAAGCGAACCCCTGCCATTTTGCAACCTCCTGCCAAGCAAAGTCAATAGGGAAGCCAGATTCACTTAACAACCGTGAAGTGAGGTGAATCTGGCCTCCCCGTTGTCTTTGCTTGTCAGAAGGTCGCAAAAGGGGATCGATTACGTGATCCCCGGGACTCTGCGGCGGTCGTAAAGATGAGTCGGTTGCCAAGCGCCCGAAATTCGATCACATGACCGTGGGGATGTTTGCAACGGTCGTAAGCATGAAAAATAGTCGTACATTCCTTTTTTTCCCACTGCTTTCGTTACTTCGAACGGTCACTAAATGAATGGCTTCCTTGCCACAGCTGTTAAGGGAATCACTGCAGTTCTTAAATTAGTAAGACGGTTGTTAAGCGAATCTGGCTTCCCCGTTGACTTTGCTTGTCAAGGGACCAAAGGACATTGCCAATATCATAAATGCTTGCCAAGTGTGCAAATTTTGATTACGTAATCCCAGGGATGCTGCAGCATCGTAAGTGGGAAAAACAGCCATAAGTCACTTTTTCCAGTCTCTGAATGAAGGTTGTAAGTCGAGGACTGAGCCTGTATATAAATCCTTTGCATAGGGGGATTTGTTGGTAGTTACTTGATACGGCTTCCAAAAATAGTCTACTATGCCAGCATTGTCTGTAGGGGATTGGACTAGAAGACCTCCAAGGTCCCTTCCAACTCTGTTATGTACGTACTTGACGACTTTAAGACTTGTGAATTGCCAGCATAGCTGGCTGAGGAATTCTGGGAGTTGGAAGTCCACAAGTCTTATAAAGTTGCCATATTTGGAGACCCCTGGTCAGTGGTGGGTTCCTCCCGGTTCGGCTCGGTTCGGTCGAGCCGGTAGGGGTGACGATATGACGTCACCGAACCGATTCTCTTTGTTCGGGAGCTGGGCTCTCCCGCCCCCCCACGTTATTCTTACCTTTTATTTGGCCCCGCCCCCAATCTGTTTGCTGCCTCCCAAGTCCCAGCTGATTGGCTAAACTCTTGCTGCGGGGCTTCAAAGGGCTGCCCTACAGCTGATCAGTGTTAAAAGGCAGTGTGGTGGTAGACCGGTGCCTCCAAAAACAAATGAGTAGACTGGTGCCTCCAAAAACAAATGAGTAGACGGGTGCCTCCAAAAACAAATGGGTAGACCGGTACAGCTCTGCAAGCAGTTAAAAGCCTGGTAGACCAGTACCTCTGCTAAATCCTAAAGAATTGTCACATGACCATTAAACCACGCCCACAAAATAAGCCACGCCCACAGAACCGGTAGTAAAAAATTTTAGAACCCACCTCTGCCCCTGGTGTAGTAAATGCAGTGGGAACTTCAAAAAGTTTTACTACAGTGATATTTGGTCTCTAGAAGAGATACCGTCCAAGGGCTTCTTATTTTTACCGGATCTTTAAAAATGCGAAGGTTATTTTTTCCCCCAGAAATATTTTTTTAAATAATTATTCAAATAAATACTAGTGCCATAATTCCTGGAGAAACAAGAGGCATGTCTGGCAATTAGCTCTATTTACTGTATATATTTAGTTTTCAATCTCTTCTACCTATATCAAAACACCTTTTACATTCTTTTAATATTCCAACGTGCTCTGTCAGGCCATTTAAAACTTAACGTTCGAAAAATAAACATTACTGAAAAGATCCATTTGATCTACAGACGGTTTATATGCTCTATGGATTGTGGGCCAAATCCAGAAAATTTACATATTCAGGGCAGTATGGTGCTTTGGCTCTTTTTGTATTTTATATTTTTGTTTTTATAAAAAAGGTATTTATTTTCTAAAACGGGGCAATTCCTCTTTTTACCTCCATCCTGGTAATTCACAAGGGCTGTTGCATTTTTTTGGCATGGAGAATCTATTGTTCTAATCAAATTTATAATGTGTTCTCTTGATGGTTAGAACAGAACAATTAATTGGTGGAACGACTTGCCTCCAGAAGTTGTAAATGCTCCAACATTGGAGGTTTTAAAGAAGAGATTGGACAGCCATTTGTCTGGAATGGTAACCCACACCCATAATTCTATGCACCCCGCCCTGCGTGCGCAACCCCCCTCCCCCCTGCTCGTGGCACGCGATGGCCCGGTAGGCCCGTTTTTCTTTCCCACTTGGCTCTAGATCCTCTCTTTGCATCTGGGGAGGGCAAAAACAGCCTTCCCCACCTCCTCGGAGGCCCTCTAGAGGCCTGAAACGGCCCATTTTCCAACTCCTGGTTGGACAGGAAGTGACGTTTTCTGCTGTCCCCAGCCTCCAGAGCCTCTCTTTTCGCCCTCCCCAGATGCACAGAGAGGCTCTGGAGCCAGGTGAGAAAGAAAAACAGGCTTTCTCCAACCCCACCCAGACCCTCCGGAAGCAGGAAACAGCTTGTTTTCCTACTTCTGGTAGGCCCAGAAGGCCCGAAAATCAGCGGCCGGTGTGTGCATGCACGCCAGAGCTGAGCTGGCATGCCCACTAATATGGCTACGCGTGCCACAGGTTCGCCATCACGGGTATAGGGTTTCTTGCGTGAGCAGGGGGTTAGACTAGAACACCTCCAAGGTCCCTTCCTGCTAGTTTATTCTGGTATGAATTTGACTGACTTGAATTATAATAGCAATTATTATCCCTTGTGCGTACACTTGTTTCTCCAAAGCAAATACAACTTGAAGTATATTTATTTGTATGTGTCGTGCAACTTGTCATCTCATTAATATGTCAATTAAAAGAAGCAGTAACATATATGAAAAATTTGCAGGTGTAACCTACTCTTCTTTGGACATAGATAAGAGCTGAGAAGATTGCTGGGTATTATAAAGACTTTTTAAAAACTTTCCCCGTTTCCTTCGGGAGCGTGTAACTATTTAAACGCTTGATTCCATCATCCCTAACCAACAGTCCACGCTGCAGCCGATAGAAGCTATATCCAAAATTGTTCCACTGTGTTGGGATCTCCTATAAGAAATTCTACATTAGAAAACCCAGTTTTCTGAACTTTTTACATTTTGTAACAATAATACCTTTTAAAAAAAAACCTCATTGTTTCTGTTTTGCAATTTTAAAAAAGCGATGTATGTTTTATATGCTCTGGATGAAAATATTCATATTAATATACTTTAATTGTTATTCCATAATTTTTCTATTGCACATTTTTTTGGGGGGGGGCAAAATTCAGTGAGTGATGCTGTCCTCAGTTTTCATAAGCGGCACGTTAAGGAAAATGATTGGTCAACTTGGCTTCATTGGCCCTCCCACCAACGCTAATTGGCAGGAAAGCATCCACCAATCACCTCTTAAATGTGGGATGGACGAGGGATGCTGACAGTTCATTGCTCAGAGCCTGCTGGATTTTGCGTAAGAACTTTGAATGGGTATATTCAAGGCAGCTAATTAAGAGTTGATCGCCAAACTTCTTTTAGTTTCCAGCATTATTCTAGAATATTGCAGTATAATTAGAATATAATTATTCTAGAATAATTCACCTTCATTTCCGAGAATATAATTATTCTGGAATAACACTGGAAAAGCACTGTGTTGGTGGTGTGGCAGAATAATACTAATAGTGTTAGCTAGAAGAGCGGTAAGGTGGAGCTCGTGCCTCACAATTAGGAGGCTGTGAGTTCAATCCTAGGTAGAGGCAGATATTTCTCTTTCCGGGCACAATGAGAATTTATCTGCCGAACAATGGTGACAGGAAAGGCATCCGGCCATTCAAACACTCTGCTAGCTCCATTCAGTTGTCCAGACTCCACCTCGCAAGGGATTATGGGGTTGTTAAATGAAGTTATTAGTTAGAAACAGAGGTACATCATTGCAATCAAAGGTGTATTTTTAAACCTTGTATTGGAAGGTGCAATTTTTTGAAAATAAAGTCTCAAACTCAAAAGCAACCCATAGATCCGTGATGGCGAACCTATTGCACGCGTGCCACAGGTGGCACACGGAGCCATATCTGGGGGCACACGAGAATTGCCCTAGCTGAGCCCCAGGCCACATGCGTGTGCCGGCCAGCTGATTTTCAGGCCTTCCGGGTCCACCGGAAGTCAGGAAACAGTCCGTTTCTGGCCTCCGGAGGGTGGGGAAGGCTGTTTTGGCCCTCCCCAGACTCCAAGAAAGCCTCTGGAGAGGGGGAAAAATGGGCTATCGGTAACCTTTTTGCCATCGCCGGGAGGGGGGGTGTTACACGTGCATGCAAGGGGGCAGGGCACAGGGGACATTGAATTATGGGTGTAGGCATGCCCATAATTGCGCAATCCCCCTGTGCTCCTCCCGCTTTTGGCATGCGACAGCAAAAAAGGTTAGCCATTACTGCCATAGATAGTGAAGGGCAAAATTCCTCCCTCATGCGGTAAATGAATATAATGAGCACATTGCATAAAAACCGATTAAATGCATCCTCCTCCTGTTGGGATGTTAAGCAGGAAGGATTATCCCGAAAAATCAATTGGAAGATTATTTTAACTTAATGCAGAAAAAGAAAACTACATTAGCGCCTCAGCATGTTCCTTGTGAAATTGACAACTGCCACTTTTAAGGGATTTTTTTTTTTTTTAATGTGAATTCGTATTAGGACAATTGATTTAATTGTTCATAATAGATCAACAGGGGTTTTTGATGTCCACACATCTGAAGGTCTTAAAAAAGATTTGAGAGGCAACCTTAAAATTGCTTCTGGGTGTTCTAGTCTTATTATGTACAATTGTTCTCTCGCGTCTACTGAAACTTCAGAAAAAGTTTTGTATTTTAACCAACCGAGAGAGGTTGGTCTCCTTTTCTGACAGTATTATTTTTCCACGCTGATATATCTCCTTCCGTTTCATTCCCCCCTTTTAAATTTCCCCGACTTGACTACTGCAATGCTCTCTACATGGGGCTCCCCTTGAAGTGCACCCGGAAGCTCCAACTGGTCCAGAATGCGGCCGCGCGAGTAATTATGGGAGCAACATGGCGCTCACATGTAACACCTCTTCTACGCGAGCTGCACTGGCTTCCGGTGGCTTTCCGAGTGCGCTTCAAGGTGTTGGTTCTTACCTTTAAAGCGCTCCATGGCATAGGACCCGGGTACCTTCGAGACCGACTTCTGCCACCAATAGCCTCCCACCGACCAGTCCGCTCCCACAGAGAGGGTCTCCTCCGGGTGCCATCGGCCAAGTTATGTCGGCTGGCGACACCCAGGGGGAGGGCCGTCTCTGTGGGAGCCCCAGCCCTGTGGAATGAACTGCCCCCGGAAATGCGTAAGATCTCCGACCTCCGGGTGTTTCGCTGCGCACTGAAGACCCTGTTGTTCCGCCAGGCCGGGCTATCAACATAATTTTAATTTGGGGTATTTTAAATTTCTGGGATTTTAATTGGAGCCTAATCATTTAATGATTTTAAATTTTAATCATTGTTTTGTTTTGTGTTTTTAAATAGGCTGTACACCACCCTGAGTCCTTCGGGAGAAGGGCGGTATAGAAATAAAATAATAATAATAATAATAATAATAATAATAATAATAATAATAATAATAATAATAATAATAATAAAAACAATGTCGTCTAGTAGTTCCAAGGGAGAGAGCCTTCTCTGTGGGGGCACCTACTCTTTGGAACAAAATACCCCCTGGAATACGAATAATCCCAGATCTTCGCACTTTCCGACGTGCCCTGAACACCTTTCCGTTTCAACAAGGAGGGCTAGCATAAACATCTAAATTCTATGCCAAGGTCTTAGCAGATACACCAAGTTGACTCAATTTATTATTTACTGTTTATTAATATATATATATATATATATATTATATATATATATATATATATATATTATATGTATATGAAATCTGAATCTGTTCACCGCCCTGAGTCCTTCGGGAGAAGGGCGGTATAGAAATTCAATAAATAAATAAATAAATAAATAAATAAATATCTGCCTTTGATATTTTAATTCTTCTTGTAGGAAACTTTTAAAACGATATGATTCAGTTGCTGAAAACAGCATCACAACGTTTTACTGGAGTGAAACGCCGTCATGACAAGTTTAGAATGAATAGAATAGAGCTGGAAGGGACTTTGGAGGTCTGCTAGTCCAGCCCCCTGCTTAAGCAGGAAAACCTATGCCATCTCAGACATGTGACTGTCCTCGCTTAATGTACCCCAATTTAGATCGGCAACTCCTAAGTGATGTGGCCCTTAAGCGAACAAACCCACGGTTGTTAAACGAGACACCATGTGACTGTTAACTTCCGAATTTACTGCCGGCGTTTCCATTAACTCTATTTGTTGGAACCTGGCTGCGAAGCACACAAATTAAAATGACTTGACCATGGTTAATTGCTATGGTTATAAGTTTGAGGACTAGTCGTAAAATTCCTTTTCCAGGCTGTCATAACTTAGAATGGTTGCTAAACAGGGTACACGGTTCAGTGGTGAAATCCAAATTTTTTTACTACCAGTTCTGTGGGTGTGGCAGGGGAAGGATACTGCAAAATCCCCATTCTCTCCCCACTCCTGGGGGAAGGAGATTGCAAAATCTCCATTCCCACCCCGCTCTGGGGCCAGCCAGAGGTGGTATTTGCTGGTTCTCCGCTGCCTTTTCCATCTGCAAAGTAGCATCTGCAAGCAGCAAAGCACTCTGCACATGTTTAGAGGCCACGCTTTCCCTCCCGGCCGGCTCTCCACTGCCTTTTCCACTGCAAACAGCAAAGCACTCTGTACATGCTTGGAGGCCACACTTTCCCTCCCGGGCCGCCTCTGCGCTGCCCATTTTTTTTTTGCCTCTGCAAACGCACTCTGCACATACTCAGAGGCAACGCTTCCTCCCAGCTCTCCGCTGCCTTTTCTCTTTGCAAAACAGCAGCTGCAACCAGCAAAGCACTCTGCACATGCTTGGAGGCCACGCTTTCCCTCCCGGGCCGCCTCTGAGCTGCCCTTTTTTTTTTTTTTTTTTTCCCCCACACACCACACTCTCCACATGCTCGGAGGCAACGTTTCCGTCCCAACTCTCCGCTGCCTTTTCTCTCTGCAAAGCACTCTGTACATGCTTGGAGGCCACGCTTTCCCTCCGGGGCCGGCTCTCCGCTGCCTTTTCCAGCTGCAAGCAGCAAAGCACTCTGCACATGCTTAGAAGCCACGCTTTCCCTCCCGGGCTGCCTCTGTGCTGCCCCCCCTTTTTTTTGCCTCTGCAAACGCACTCTGCACATGCTTGGAGGCAACGCTTTCTCCCAGCTCTCTGCTGCCTTTTCTCTCTGCAAAGCAGCAGCTGCAACCAGCAAAGCACTCTGCACATGCTTAGAGGCCACGCTTTCCCTCCGGGCCGGCTCTCCGCTGCCTTTTCCAGCTGCAAAGCAGCACAGCACTCTGCACATGCTTGGAGGCCACGCTTTCCCTCCCGGGCCACCTCTGCGCTGCCCATTTTTTTTTTTTTTTGCCTCTGCAAACACACTCTGCACTGCACATGCTTGAGCTTCCGTCCCAGCTCTCCGCTGCCTTTTCTCTCTGCAAAGCACTCTGCACATGCTTAGAGGCCACGCTTTCCCTCCGGGGCCGGCTCTCCGCTGCCTTTCCCAGCTGCAAAGCAGCACAGCACTCTGCACATGCTTAGAGGCCACGCTTTCCCTCCGGGGCCGGCTCTCCGTTGCCTTTTCCATCTGCAAGCAGCAAAGCACTCTGCACATGCTTGGAGGCCACGGCGCTGCCTTTTCCATCTGCAAAGCAGCACAGCACTCTGCACATGCTTAGGGGCCACACTTTCCTACCATAGCCTCCGCTTGCTTAGTGGCCACGTTTTCCCTTCCCGGGCCGCCTCTGCGCTGCCCATTTTTTTTTTTTTAATTATTATTTTTTGGCCTCTGCAAACTCAGCAGCAGCAGCAGCAGCAGCAGCAGCAGCAGCAGCGCAGGGCTTCCGGCGCGTGCGCGCGGGGTGTCTGTCTGGCGGGCGGGCGGGCGGGCGCGCGGCGCTCTCGGTTGCCATGGTTTCCCCGGGTCTCTCTCTCACTCTCACGCTCGCGCGCGGGGATTTTTTCCCCCCTCATCTCCCTGTCGAGGGAGGGAGGGGTGGGCGGGGCTGCGTCTTGCTGCCGTCACGGGCGGGCTCGGCTCTTTTCTCCTCGGCCGGCTGCAAAGCGCCGGGGAAGCCCCCGCGAAGGGAAGCCGCCTTTTGCACCCCGGGCCGGCCTTGCCTTGCCTTGCCGAGCGTGGTCTCCGGGGCCGGGCGCCGGGTTGCATGGGCGGCCGCCCCGCCCCGCTCGCTCGCCCGGCATGAGCATCTCCATCCCGGAGGGGCTGCGGGAGCTGCTGCAGAGCTTCACCCTGGAGGTGCTGCGGAGCCAACCGGCCGACCTGCTCGACTTCGCCCTCCGCTACTTCCAGCGCCTCAAGGCCGAGGCCGGAGGAGGAGGAGGAGGCGCCCGTTGCAACGCCGGACCCGAGCGGGGGAGCCGCCCGCAGCTCGACGGCGCCCCCGCCGAGGCCCGCGGGGTCAACTTCTCGCCTCAGCCGCTGCAGCAGCAGCACAGCCCCTCCGACAGCAGCCCCGAGGAGGAGGAGGAGGAGGAGGAGGAAGAGGAGGAGGAGGAGGAGGAATTCGCCGGTAAGCCCGGCAAGGAGGGAGGGTCCTCGGCTTTTTTTGGGGAGGGGGGCGCCCCTCCTGGCAAAGCGAGCGGAGGAGGAGCAGGAAGGAAGGGAAAGGAGGAGGAGGAGGAATTGGAGGAGAAGAAATTGAAGGAAAAGGAAAAAGGGAAGGAGGAGGAGGAGGAATTGGAGGAGGAGAAAGGGAAGAAGGAGGAACTGGAGGAGGAATTGAAGGAAAAGGAACAAGGGGAGGAGGAGGAATTGGAGAAGGAGAAAGGGAAGGAGGAGGAGGAAGTGGAAGAGGAGAAAGGGAAAGAGGAGGAGGAGGAATTGAAGAAGGAGAAAGGGAAAAAGGAGAAACTGGAGGAGGAATTGAAGGAAAGGGAACAAGGGGAGGAGGAGGAATTGAAGAAGGAGAAAGAGGAGGAGGAGGAGGAGGAATTGGAGAAGGAGAAAGGGAAGGAGGAGGAGGAGGAATTGAAGAAGGAGAAAGGGAAAAAGGAGAAACTGGAGGAGGAATTGAAGGAAAGGGAACAAGGGGAGGAGGAGGAATTGAAGAAGGAGAAAGAGGAGGAGGAGGAGGAGTTAGAGAAGGAGAAAGGGAAGGAGGAGGAGGAGGAATTGAAGAAGGAGAAAGGGAAAAAGGAGAAACTGGAGGAGGAATTGAAGGAAAGGGAACAAGGGGAGGAGGAGGAATTGAAGAAGGAGAAAGAGAGGAGGAGGAGGAGGAATTGGAGAAGGAGAAAGGGAAGGAGGAGGAGGAGGAATTGAAGAAGGAGAAAGGGAAAGAGGAGGAGGAGGAATTGAAGAAGGAGAAAGGGAAAAAGGAGAAACTGGAGGAGGAATTGAAGGAAAGGGAACAAGGAGGAGGAGGAATTGAAGGAGGAGGAGGAATTGAAGAAGCAGAAAGGGAAGGAGGAGGAGGAATTGGAGAAGGAGAAAGGGAAGAAGGAGGAACTGGAGGAGGAATTGAAGGAAAAGGAACAAGGGGAGGAGGAATTGAAGAAGGAGGAGGAGGAGGAATTGAAGAAGGAGAAAGGAAGGAGGAGAGAGGAATTGGAGGAGAAGAAATTGAGGAGGAGGAGAAAGGGAAGGAGGAGAAGGAGGAATTGGAGAAGGAGAAAGGAGGAATTGGAGAAGGAGAAAGGGAAGAAGGAGGAACTGGAGGAGGAATTGAAGAAGGAGAAAGGGAAAAAGGAGAAACTGGAGGAGGAATTGAAGAAGGAGAAAGGGAAGGAGGAGGAGGAGGAATTGAAGAAGGAGAAAGGGAAAGAGGAGGAGGAAGAATTGAAGGAGAAAGGGAAAAAGGAGAAACTGGAGGAGGAATTGAAGGAAAGGGAACAAGGGGAGGAGGAGGAATTGAAGAAGGAGAAAGGGAAGGAGGAGGAGGAGGAAGTGGAGAAGGAGAAAGGGAAGAAGGAGGAACTGGAGGAGGAATTGAAGGAAAAGGAACAAGGGGAGGAGGAATTGAAGAAGGAGAAAGGGAAGGAGGAGGAGGAATTGGAGGAGAAGAAATTGGAGGAGGAGGAGAAAGGGAAGGAGGAGAAGGAGGAATTGAAGGAGGAGAAACTGGAGGAGGAATTGAAGGAAAGGGAATAAGGGGAGGAGGAGGAATTGAAGAAGGAGAAAGGCAAGAAGGAGGAGAAGAAATTGAAGAAGGAGAAAGGGAAGGAGGAGGAGGAGGAATTGAAGAAGGAGAAAGGGAAAAAGGAGAAACTGGAGGAGGAAGAGAAATTGGGGAGGAGGAGGAATTGAAGGAGAAGGAGAAAGGGAAGAAGGAGAAACTAGGAGGAGGAGAAATTGGAGGAGGAGGAGGAGGAATTGAAGAAGGAGACAGGGAAGAAGGAGAAACTGGAGGAGGAGGAGGAAAAATTGGAGGAGGAAGAGGAATTGAAGGAAAAGGAGAAAGGGAAGAAGGAGAAATTGGAGGAGGAGAAATTGGAGGAAGAGGAATTGAAGAAGGAGAAAGGGAAGAAGGAGAAACTGGAGGAGGAGAAATTGGAGGAGGAGGAGGAATTGAAGAAGGAGACAGGGAAGAAGGAGGAAGGAGAAGGAGAATTTGGAAGAGGAGGAGGAATTGAAGAAGGAGAAAGGGAAGGAGGAGAAACGAGGAGGAGGAATTGAAGGGAAGGGGAAGAAGGAGCAATTGAAGGAGGAGGAGCAATTGAAGGAGAAGGAAAAATTGGAGGAGGGGGAGGAATTGAAGGAGGAGAAGAAATTGGAGGAGGATTAATTGAAGGAGGAGAAATTGGAGAAGGAGGAAGAATTGAAGGAGATGGAAAAGGAGAAGGAGAAATTGAAGGAGGAGGAGAAGGAAGAAGGAAGGTGCCACTCCCCCTCCATTGAGCAAACCGTTTGATGTAAAACGTGGTCTCACTCATCCCTCCCTCTATTGAAGCTTGTAGGAGCTCAGCCTGGGATGGGGGTTCATACCTGCCTTCCCTCTAACCTAACCCCAAACCGGGCCGACCCCCCCACCCCCCCTTTGCAGAATTAAACAGGTTCCACCTTAACCGACAAGCAAAGAGGTTCTCCGGATTTTAAGGTGCATTGGGGGGGGTGACAAGTGTTGGGTGGGTGAGTGGCAACCTGCCTTCCTCTGCAGGAACCGCGGCTGATGTAGAGCAGGAAGCGGGAGGAAGAGGGAAAAAATCGGTATCCCAGCCCGGAGCTTTGTAGAGGAAGCAGGGTACAGACGGTCATTCACAAATGTTGGCGAGAGCTGTCCTTTTTTTTTTTTTTTTGTGAATGAAGATGCAGCTGTTGTTGTCCATGCCCTGAAGTAGGTTGGGCCCACATCTGCCATGCCTCTGCTGAAGGGAACGGGCAGTCCTCGCCTTACGACCATAATTGAGCCCAGGATTTCTGTCGCTAAACGTGTTCGGCGAGCTTTGCCCCGTTTTCACGACTTTCCTTGCATCTTGTTAAGTGAATCGCGGATGTCGTCGTTTCAATGAGTAGTTAAACGGTTGTTAAGTGAATCTGGCTTCCGAATCGACTTTGGCTTTGTCAGAAGGGCACGGGCAGTCCTCGCCTTACGACCGTAATTGAGCCCAGGGTTTCTGTTGCTAAGCGAGAAACATTTTCACGACTTTCTTTGCCACGTCTTGTTAAGTGAATCGCGGATGTCGTCGTTTAAACAAGTAGTTAAAACGAGTTGTTAAGTGAATCTGGCTTCCAAATTGACTTTGGCTTTGTCAGAAGGGTGGCAAAAAGGGATTGCGGGACCCCGGGATGCAGTGACTGTCATACATACGAGTCAGTTGCTGAACGTCTGAATTTTGATCATGTGCTGCATTGGTCGTAAGTGTGAAAAACGGTCGTAAGTCACTTTTTTCAATGCCGTTGTAACTTCAGATGTATCTCAAGGGCTACTTTTAACAGTATAGCTGAGTTAGAAGGGACGTTGGAGGTCTTTGCTGCTCAAACAGGAGACCCTATAGCAGTGATAGCTAACCTTTTTGCTGTTGTGTGCCGGGAGCGGGGGGGTGGTTGCGCACCCGCGTGCCCACACCATTTAATGCCTCCCCACCCCCGTGCATGCGCACTCCCCCCGTTTTTGGCACGCAATGACAAAAAGGTTATCAGTGGGCCTGGTAGGCCTGTTTTTCACCCTCCCCAGGCTCCAGAGGCTTTCTTGGAACCTGTGGAGGGCTAAAACAGCCTTCCCCACCCCTCTGGAGGCCAGAAACAGCCCGTTTCCTGACTTCCGGTGGGCCCGAAAGGCCTGAAAATCAGCTGGCCGGTGCATGCATGCGTGCTGGAGCTGAGCTAGGGCAACGCTCGCATGTGCCATAGGCTCGCTATCACGGCCCTATAGCATTTTTGCCCCAAACTGCATTTCTTGCCTTTCTTTGGGTTGGACTAGAAGACCTCTAAGGTCCCATCCAACCCTATGATTTTATGTTTATGTTGCTGCTGCCCTTTGGTGCTGCTGCTGTGAGTCACTGACAATATCATCCCTAAATTAGGAGATGATCCTACTACAAACAGTGCTACACGTAGTCCTCGACTTAACAACAGTTCATTTAGTGACCGCTCAGAGTTACAACGGGGCTGAAAAATTTGACTTACGACCATTTTTCACAGTTACAACCCTTTGCAGCATCCCTGCAATCGTGTGATCCAAATTCAGATGTTTGCCCAACTGGTTCATACTTACGACTGTTGGGGGTGTGTCACATGATCCCCTTTTGTAACCTTCTGACCAGCGAAGTCACCGGGGAAGCCGGATTCACTTAACAACCGGCTTACTAACTTATTTATTTATTTATTTATTTATTATATTTCTATACCGCCTTTCTCCCGTAGGACTCAAGGCGGTGTACAGTCAAGAAAAATATAGACACAAACATCATAAAATTGCTAATTAAAATTATTACTTAGTTTGGTCAATTAAATAAAACCCAGAATTAGATAACATTTAAAAAATCATTCACATGTTCATATGTTTAGCCCCGCCTGTTGGAACATCAGGGTCTTGAGGGCACGGCGGAAAGCACGGAGATCAGGGATATTCCGTATCTCCGGGGGCAGTTCATTCCAAAGGGTTGGAGCCCCCACAGAGAAGGCCCTCCCCCTGGGAGTCGCCAGTCGACATAATTTGACTGACGGTACCCTGAGTAGTCCCTCCCTGTGAGAACGAACTAGTCGGTGGGAGGCTATTGGTGGCAAAAGACGGTCTCGTAGGTACCCAGGTCCTAAGCCATGGAGCGCTTTAAAGGTGATAACTAACTTATCAACTGCGCTCAACAGCTGTAGCAAGAAAGTTTGTAAAAATCAGGCAAAAACTCGCTTAACAAATGTTTCGCTGAACAATAGAAATTTGGGCTCCGTTGTGGTCGTAAGTCGAGGACTACCCGCATAGCCATTTTATTCCCAAGCATTTGTTGCAGGAAAGCAAGTCTCAATTTATCCAGTTCAGTGGCAGACTGAGGAATTAGGAGAGAGGGTGGGTGAGTGGATAGGAGGTAGGTTGGTGTACCTCTGCAGGGTGTAACTGCATTGATTGATTCACTG